ATTCCCGTACCCGGATCCATACCCGATTGGACACCAAAGTTTACACCCGTACCCACTACCCACATTCCTTACTACGCCAAAAATGACTTTTGGCAGCGCATAAAAAGACAGCGCTTTATGAAAAAGCGCTGCTAAAGAGTCATGAAAAAAATAAAAAAATAGCAAACCTTAGACAGCGCTTTAGGAAAAAGCGCTGCTAAATGCATGCCCTAAGAAAGCGCTTTTATAAAGCGCTGCTAAGGGGGGGGGGTCTAAGAAAGCGCTTTCTAAAAGCGCTGCTAAAGGGGGGGGGGGGGGGGGTCTAAGAAAGCACTTTCTACAGAAGCGCTGCTATATGGGGTATAATAGAAAGCGCTTCTAAAAAGCGCTGCTATAAGTCCTGCCTAAGGCAGACCTTAGAGAGCGCTTTTTGAAAGCGCTGCTAAATGCCATGCAAAAGCGCTGCTATAGGTTTAAGTAGAATAAATTTAAAAATACCCACTAGAATTTTTCCAGAAACATAACAGTCGTGTATTCTTCTTTCCTTCTTTCTCCACTCACGAACGTTGGTTTCCCTATTCACCACGACCGAAAACGACCATTCCCTCCGTCCGACAGCCGCCGTCCGTCGCCGTCCTCCCTTCATTCCTTCTGCATTTCATTTCGCCGCCGTTTGTCCGTCCGTTTTCGACAGCCTCCGTCCATTCATTCTGCAGCGCATTTCCACCATTTTTACGGTACATTTTTTCATTTTTCATTTTTCTTGATTATTCTCTTGGTTTTTCATTTTTCTGAACTAATAGATTTAAACTTTGGATTGAAACTGATTTGAACTCTTATCTCAACAAACTTATTGATTGAATAACTACTGTTATTATTGTGGGAATAAAATAAAATAAGGGAAGAAACTAACAGTGTTAACCACCATTGTAAATGAGAATTTTTGTTGATAATCAAAGAGTGTTTTACAAGATTTTGACTTAATTTTAGAAGGTACATTACTTTGTTAGGACAAATATTTCTGCATGTGTTAATGTGTTATTGTCGGTACTTTGTATCAATAAAGGTAGCTTATAGATTCCCAACTAACTAGCCACAGTATTCTTTCCTTTTATGGTTATCTTTGAACATGGAAGTTTGAAATTTTGATTAGAAACAACTATGTGATGTGTTTTATATTCTGGATTTTCTGTGTGAATTAGGAATATTGGTTGATCTCCATAATTAGTCAACCAATTTTTTATTTTGTTTGTATTTCAAATAGTAAGATCTCCAAATATGAGGGGAAATTTTGGGGAATAGTTGGCTATACATATCCAATATCATTTCAAGGATTTCATGAAGAAGTTAGTTTTTGAATTGTAACACTGTTAATCTTTCTATTAGTAACAGTTAGATGGAATTAAGATAGTGAGAGATTGAAGGTTAGTCATTAGGGAGTTAGTGTTAAGAAATAGTTAGAACTATTTGTTAGTTTTGGAGCTTGAACTGAAGTTAGTTATGTTAAGAGTTTAGTTTATGTTAATTTGTTGAGATGTGAATTTGACTTTGAATCTCACTTGGTGTTATGATGTTGTTAGGATAACTACTTGGCATTCAATGAAACTTGCTTGTTAAATTTGAGACATATTGGTCTTTAGAATAGATGGTTGGAGAGTACTAGCCACACTAACTTTACAAATATTACTTTCACACACATAGTTAGAGAAGAGAATTTTTGTGTTGATTTTTTTTTGCTAATATAAGTAGCAGTGCATATTTTTTAATTACTTTTGTTTCTATCCCTATTAGAATTAAAGAGAATTTTAATATTGATGATGTTATTAATTTTGTCTGGTATAGGGGTTACCTGGGAAGAGCAAGGTTGTGATCGTTTCCAAGAATCCTACTGTGTAGCTTTCTTAGAAGTTGGTGATTTCTTTACAGGTATTCGTTGTTTTTGTTTAACTTTCTTAGTTTAGTTTAGACTACTCAATTAGTATGGATAAAAAATGGATGTCTTCTAATCGATTGTCAAAAGAGTACGAGAATGGGGTATCAAAATTCGTTAAGTTTGCTGTTGAACATGCCAAAAACCCTAGTAGGATCACATGTCCTTGCTTAGGTTGTTGTTATGGGTGTCGAATTGACATCGTTCAGTTGGAGTCTCATTTAATGAGACATGAAATTGATCGAAGTTATACATGTTTGACATTACATGGTGAGATAAGTAACGAGAATGTCGAACCCGGGGATAATACGACCTATGCTTCAAAGGACAATGGCAGGGATACATATGATTGTGTTCGAGTCAAAGAGATTGCAGAAGCACTTGAAGAAGATCTTCAAGATTGTCCCAAGATGTTTGAGAGGTTGGTAAGCGATGCAGAGAAACCGTTGCATAAAGGTTGCACTACTTTCACAAGATTGTCTGCGGTATTAAAGTTGTACAACTTAAAGGCGGGTAATGGATGGTCGGATAAAAGTTTCACAAAGTTGTTAGCCCTACTACAAGAGATGGTTTCGGAGGATAATGTTCTTCCCAATCGAACCTATGAAGCTAAAAAAATGTTATGCTCTATTGGCATGAGCTATGATAAGATACATGCTTGTCCAAATGATTTCATTTTGTTTCGAAATGAATATGCATCATTAAACGAGTGTTCTAAATGCGGTGTATCTCGGTATAAGAAAAAGTTGTCACCAACAAAATTCTTATGGTATTTTTCTATAATTCTGAGATTTAGACGCATGTTTCATAGTGAAACAGATGCGAAACACCTGACTTGGCATGCAGATGATAGAATTATAGATGAGAAGTATCGACATCCGGCAGATTCACCACAGTGGATGAAAATTGATAATGAGTATCCTGATTTTGGAGAAGAAGCTAGAAACATTCACTTGATGATAATATTTAGATTCAACTACATTACAAAATGTGTAAAATTAAAATAAAGTTGCTATTTATGACCAAATTAACCAAAAACAAAAAATGAATACTTGAAAAAATAAAATTTAACATAAAAGTAGCCGCTACTAAAATTATAAAAAAAAAAACATGTATAGTGTTATAAAAAAGAAGAAGAAAAGAATAAATTTTATCCTCAAATAATATAAAAAAATATTAGGTCCAATTCTTCAATTTATGTTCACTCTAAATTATATGGTTCAATTGATGTTAACTAGGAATTTGTATTTTAAATTTAGTTTGTAGTTATAGTAGTTAGTAAATAAAATTATGTTGTTAACTTGTTGCTAATTTCAAGAATTATTATGAATCACATAAAATGATATTACATGTTAGTATCAGCCTCAAATTGGATATGGCTATGTTAGTTTTAACATTATGCCGAAATAAATTAAATTAAATTTTTTTATATTTTGATTAATAATTATTTATATATACAATATGAATTTATTGTCTTTAAATTTTTGCCCAAACTTCAAAAACTTTCTGACTCCGCCACTGCCCTCCACTATCACTTGAACAACTCCCATGTCCCTTATATTAGGCCCGTTAAGGAAGATTTTGTTTATATGATAATCGTGTGCGAGTAATATCCGTAGTATAAAATTGTGGATATTCCAATGATGCACTATTATCTATTCAATTTTTCTTATCAAGTTACAATCTAATTAATTCAACACTGATCACTAGTACAAAACATCAAACACATAACTAGTTTTTCAAAGAAATTTCATTAACTTAGTCACTAACAACAATTAAAAGGGACCCGAAAACACTAATCAAGAAATAAAGCTCGGGAATGACGACTATGAAGACGACAGTTGACAGCTTCCTGCATTAATAATCTTTCATCTTCAAATAGCTGTACCATTTGGAATAACAAAATTAATCAAACCAAACTCCATTCAACGTACAAATATATATGATACGACTCTGATACACTCAATCAAAACGTACATATTTTTGTTATTTGCAAAATTCCAAAATCCTCAATTTCTCCAATATTGTATTAAGTCCATATGAATTCCCTATAGTGCCGGTAATCTAGGATGAAATTTAGACCACAAATTTAGACACATGCTGCCCCATCTTACCCAACTCAAATTACATGGCATTTGTCCCACTCTGATAATTATTATATTTATATGAACCAATCCTTCCAAATCTTCATTAATACAAAAAGCTTTTGCTATTAGCTTTAGTCACGTCAAAACTCCAACAATTGGACACACAAGCATGCAAATATATGGGATTCTTATAGCATTTGCCGTCGAGAAATTTTCCACCATTCCATTCAAATCAAAGGGTTGAAATTTAAAGTTGACTAAATAAATCAAATACATTGTGAAATGTGAACCACTCATCAAAATCAAACCACTTAAATTTAGTATACTCCATCCATTTTAAAATAATCATTATTCTAAAGAAAAAAATGTTTTAAACTGACTCTCATTCTCATATTTTAATATAAAAATGATTGTTATTTTTTCATTAGTGTCATTTAATAATATTTTCATAAAAAATTACATTTTTATTAAGTTAATTTAGTAAAATTGTAAAATCTTACGACAGATATAATTGTCTTTTTTTTATGGTATGAAAAAAAATTTAAACGATAATTATTTTAAAAATAGAGAATAAATCATAACAAAAATCTTAGACTTGCATGGAAAATGAGACACACCATACACGTGTACGGTAAATATATATGAGTAGGCGTGCATTGATGAAATGTCAATCATGTACAAAGACGTATTCAATTATATGAGTGGACACATCACTATACAATTATATATAGGACCCAACATGAAGGGCAATTTGGTCTTTGTACTCATAAAGCTATATCGTATATACACTGTCTAGATCTATTCCATTTTCATATAATCCCGCGATTTTCTGTTTCACCATTGGTTTTCATTTTCGTTTACATTTTCCTTTCTGAGAAAAACAGTAAGGTAAATTCAAGTATTCCCTTTTTATAATCATTATAATTCATTTCTTTTTTTAGCTATTCTTTCACCTCATTTTCTATAACATTCTTTTTATAAATACTGTATATACTAGTGGTGGCATGGAGGATGGGAATTATGCAAGTGGATTATGGAGAACGAAATCGGAGCAACTAGAATCAGTGGCGGAAGATTTGAACTCGACGCCGGGATCGAGCGAGTCGATAAGAGTGGCGGACGGTGGTAGCGGGAGTCTTACAAGGAAGTCGAGGAGGGCGTCGCCGGGCGGAAGAAACACGCACATAAGGAAGGCGAGAAGCGCTCAAACGTCTTTGAAAGTTGAGTTGGATGAGGTTAACAGCGGTGCTGCTCTTAGTAGAGCTTCGAGTTTGGGACTCTCGTTCTCTTTTACTGGATTTTCTGTTCCTCTTGATGAAATCAGTAGCTCCAAACCATTCAGTGATGATGAAGACATACGTAAGTAAATTTTTGTGCTATTAAAAATATTTTTATTATTATATTTAGTAATTTAATTAAGAGATTTAGTAGTAAGTGAGTGTAAAAATTTGAGAGCCTTTTAGATATGAAAGGGTTTGATACTATCTTTTCAAGATGTTCACGAGTTTGATAGATTTCAATCACTTTCAAGAACAAAAGGTTATAAATGATATTGCTCAATAAATAACTTTTCTTGTGTGTGGCAATGTGGTAACCACAAAATATGGCTTTCTATGTGGAATAAAGTTAACTACTATATTGATATTGATTATGAGAAAGCAAAAGAAGACAAGTAAAACCTTTTGTTTTTATGAGAAAGCAATTGCTAGTAGTATGTTAGTAGTATATATTATGTTGTAATTTAGGGTGGTTATTCCTGCTCAGGTTTTTTTGCTGTCAAAATAAAATAAAATTGAGGTTTTGTAAATGTATGTTCTTAATAATATTTTATTTTAATTTTAGTCAAATTTCTTCTTTCTTATTTTTTATAAATGTTTTAATTAAATATGTTAAGCGAAGAAAAGTATTTTTTTTCAAAATATATTAACAATAATAATCACAATAAATTTTATTACAATCATGAAACTTTAGAGTGGAGTTCAAAAATTTTATAAAAAATTTATTTTATCCTAGTGGTGATGTCTTGTCAATTGCATTGAGTTACGTGGAGGTATTCTAGTTGTGTCCAATCAAACCAACCACCTCTAACTACAAATCAAAACCCGTGATCAACGGTCCAAAAAACAAGTGACTCACAATGCTTCCTACAACCCAAACCACAAAAAACAGTGCTCTTTTCCTTACCATCCACTTGTATATATATATGGTCCCCCACAACCATATAGTAACCGGTCTAATTAATTTATATTCCAATCATCACTTCATGCACGTTTCATGCATTTTCACTTCAAGTGACAATTACTTAAACAATTTTACTTTTATATATGTTGCAGCTGAGGATATTGAAGCTGGAATCCATAAGCCAAAGTTTCACACTGAACCTACTCTCCCAATATATCTAAAGGTAACAAACACATTACAAGTGTAATATAATGTCCTATATAATATATACTTCATCCATGCATGCACCAACTTAGACTAGTACTAATGTTCAAACCTTGAGTTTAGTTTTAGATATTAAATTTTTCTACTTGTTTTAATCCAACTTTTTTTTGATGCCTACCACAGGGCATCATCACATTGAAACTACTACTATAACATATTTTGCTGAGAAACAAGGGTATGGATGATGTATTATTAGCTAATTAGATTAGATAATACTATATTTTAGTGAATTGAGCTTATATATGTATAACTTTTGTGTTTTATTTGAACTATGCGCGTGGGATCGGATGACACTAGATGAGTTACTTTGTTAATATTGTTGAACTGTGCAGTTCACGGATGTGACATACAAGGTAGTGCTCAAAGGCATGACAAAGAGTGTTGACAAAGATATCTTGAAAGGGATCACTGGTTGTGTAAATCCAGGAGAAGTTTTAGCATTGATGGGTCCCTCAGGAAGTGGAAAAACATCTTTGTTGAATCTAATTGGAGCTAGGTTACATCAACCAACAGTTGGTGGATCTATTACTTACAATGATAGACCATATTCCAAGTCCCTAAAAAGCAGGTAGGTAATTATTGTATATTCTTTCGACGAAATGCTCCGTGTTCTTCATGTAAATATACTTACAAGTTAAGAATGAATTTGGCAGGATTGGATTTGTGACACAAGATGATGTTTTGTTTCCTCACCTAACTGTTAAAGAAACATTGACATACGCAGCTCGTTTAAGGTTGCCAAAAACATTAACCAGAGAGCAGAAGGAAAAAAGAGCTTTAGATGTTATCTATGAGCTAGGCTTGGAGAGGTAAATTCATGCTTCCACTAGAGTCTCAATTATTGATCATCTTGAATGGAAGTGACGTACCTCTCTGGTCTTATTTATAAGAAAAATTTTGTTTTTAAATTTATTGAATAATTAATGTATCTGGTTTTAGGTGCCAAGACACTATGATAGGAGGTTCCTTTGTTCGAGGAGTATCCGGTGGAGAGAGGAAGAGAGTTTGTATTGGCAATGAGATCATAATCAACCCTTCACTTTTGTTTCTTGATGAACCAACATCTGGGTTGGATTCTACAACTGCCTTGAGAATAGTTCAAATGCTACATGACATAGCTGAGGTATTTTTTTTCTCACTCCGAGTAGCTTTCATCTTCTCTTGAATCATCTTAACTTTCTGTGTCGTATTATGATTAGGCTGGTAAGACGATAGTGACAACAATCCATCAACCATCAAGCAGACTATTTCACAAATTCGATAAGTTAATCCTTTTGGGAAAAGGGAACTTGCTTTATTTTGGAAAAGCATCAGAAGCAATGGACTACTTCAAGTTTATAGGGTGTTCTCCTCTCATTACCATGAACCCAGCAGAGTTTTTATTGGATCTTGCAAATGGAAACATGAGTGATATTTCTGTACCATCAGAGTTAGAGGATAAAGTTCATATCGAAAACGCAGAAGCTGAAACGTCCAATGGGAAACCATCAGCCGCAGTTGTACAAGAGGTAAGTAAATTCACAGTATCAATTTTGAAAGTTTTGAATAGTTTTAGAAAGATTCTCTGAGAGGTGATTATGTATAAATTTTCAACAGTATCTAGTGGAGGCATATGAGACTAAAGTAGCAGCAACTGAGAAGAAAAAGATATTGGTTCCGATTCCTCTTGATGAAGAAATGAAGTCTAAGGTTTATTCACGTAATCGACAATGGGGAGCGAGTTGGTTAGAGCAATACTCAATATTGTTTACTAGAGGATTCAAAGAACGTAGACATGACTATTTCAGCTGGTTGAGAATCACACAAGTTCTATCCACTGCAGTCATTCTAGGACTACTTTGGTGGCAATCAGATGCTAGCAACCCAAAGGGTCTTCAAGACCAGGTAAACACTTTTCTACTAAAAAATAATCATTGATCAGACTTTACTTATCTCTCAACTTCAACGAGAACGAATAGTTATGACAAAAAGACTTTGATTCTAGAACCTTTTTTTATTGTAGGCAGGATTGCTTTTCTTTATAGCGGTGTTTTGGGGATTTTTTCCCGTGTTCACTGCAATATTCACATTTCCTCAAGAAAGAGCAATGTTGAATAAGGAAAGAGCAACAGATATGTACAGATTAAGTGCATACTTTGTGGCTAGAACAACAAGTGACCTTCCATTAGACCTTGTATTACCAGTACTCTTCCTCCTAGTTGTTTATTTCATGGCTGGTTTGAGACTCAGTGCAGGACCCTTTTTCCTTAGTATCCTTACTGTTTTTCTCTGCATTGTAGCAGCTCAGGTATGCATTGTAGACTTGTAGTAGTAATTTTGAATATAGTTAGTTTTTCTCTGCATGGTGTTTAGTGCTAAGTTATAATTACTGATGATAACTATAGGGACTTGGCCTCGCTATCGGGGCGACACTAATGGACTTAAAAAGAGCAACAACGTTGGCTTCGGTCACTGTCATGACTTTCATGTTAGCTGGTGGTTTCTTTGTAAAGGTAAATTTGTTTAACTTAAACCAATTTTGGTGTTACACAAATAATGGTATGATTGAGTAATTAACAACATGTGGTACCAAATTTGACAGAATGTCCCTATATTCATATCTTGGATTCGGTATCTATCTTTCAACTACCACACATACAAGCTTTTGCTGAAGGTGCAATATGAACACATTACACCTAGCATAAACGGGATCAGAATTGACAGTGGTATGAATGAGGTTATTGCTTTGATAGCTATGGTATTTGGTTACCGTTTATTGGCATATTTTTCTCTGCGGTGGATGAAAGTTCAACCATAGCTAGCATATCAGTACTTGTGAAGAAGGGTGATATTGAATGACGGCTCATAATTATAACTATTCAGACGTATAAGGAGGACTACCAAATGAAGTGCCAAAGCTTTGTTTGGATACATCTAATCTTGTGTATAGTGTATTTCATTTTGCATGTTCTAATAACTAAATCACGTTCAATGTTATCAGCTACCACTACTTGCCACATCAGTATGAGATTCCATAGATAGAATTTTAATGGGGAAAAACTAATTTCCATTCTATGTTTTTACAATATGGTAAGCCAAGGACTTGAACACAAAAATGGAAAATTCTCAATCCACCCTATTTATTTATCGGAACTTCATTTTCACCTTGTTAGGAAGGATCTTGTCTCCGAAATAAAATCCTTCATGAACGTTAGTTTACATATGTGTGATTAAATTTTAAAATTTTATTCAACACTTTTATCTCATATTTTTCTCGTTAACATTTTCCTTTTATTTAATTAACGTGTTTGATCATGCAATAATTTTGTTTTTTTGACACCATCAAGTTCATCATCATTTTAATTTGTTTTTGAAACCATAATGTGGTTTACCACTATCAACTTAACTAATTAAGCTAATACAAGTTAGTTAAGAGAGTAGTTAGAGATTGTTAAAATCCTATTTTATCCTTGATATAAATAAATTATGCAGAGGTTTACCTTCATTATGTAAAGTAATGTAACAAACTATTCTATTCTAATGGAGAATTCTTTTTCTCTATTGAGTTATTCTTGTTACATCAATATGGTATTAGAGTTTAATGAACACTGGTGACCAATTTTTTCATCTTCTCCGTTCAATTTCTTGAACTGTTTTGTGAGTGTACTATCTTCTTAACAATGTTTTGAATTATGTCAAAATTAAGATACTTAGTACTTAAGTATATTGGATATTTCTCTCTATATTTAGATGTGCATTTTCATCTTAGAACATTTAAAAACAGGTAAGAAAAATCTTTACAAGTAAAAAATTTGAATTTTATGTAAAAAATATTATTTTGGATCAACCTATACGTGTTTTGAGTCGAGTCATATTGAAGGCATTTTAAAAAGAAAAGCTTTGCCTTGTTAGGGTCGACAAAAAGAATCTTGGGTCGATATAGAGCTCGGGTGGGTCGACCTATAACCTCTTAAGGTCGACTCCAATTGATGCCTTGACAAACAAAAATGGTTCGCCTTGTTTGGGTTGACTCTTATGCAGCTTAGGTCAACCTTCACACATACGCACACACAAGCGCGCACACACACACACACACATGTACGCACACGCACACGCGTGTTGCACCCCAAAATTTGCCTAACCTTTTCTTACTTGGCTTTTGTTTCACTACATTAGCATTGCATTGTTCTAGCATTTGCATAACATAGCATTATTCATTTAACAGGGGATCAAGTGTGGTTTATACCAAGAGGAGCCTATTTAAAGGTCTTATTCAAGCTTGAGAAGTCACCAAGGTCATCAAGAAGAGGGTTGGGTTCTTGAGGAGTTTGGTTGTTTGTATGTGGTTCATCTCTTAACCTGAGGACCAATTGAAGACCATCAGTGAGTTGTGAAGCCTTGATCATGGATAGGGTATGTGGATAGAGCTCATGGAGTGCCTTGAGGGTCATGGTGGAGCTCATTCAAATCATTATGCTAAGTGTGAGGAGTCATAGTTGAGGGTGTTGCAATTAGGGTTTTCTTCTGAGTAACCCTAAGTCAACTGTGTAATTGAAGATGATCAAAACCTATTTCTAAGCCTTTGTGACCATGGAAAGTTGTGTTGAGATACATGAGGTGATATTCCAAGATCAATTCAAGAAGAATTCAAGGTGTGAGGAGTTGCTAAACTAGGGTTCTCAGGGTAAAATCCCCTATTTAGTTCCTAACTTCAAGACCACTTATCTCAAGATACAAGTTTCACCTCAACTTTTGGCCAACATGAAACTCGTAGAGCATGTTCTTAGCTTTAATTTGAGTACTAGAAGTCCTCCATTGGATTTATAGAACTCAATTTATGTTTCATACAAGTTACAGGTCATCAGATGAATGTGAAATTTGTATGCAAAAGTCAACCAACTTACAAGGCACTTTTGACCTAGAAAGATGTTTCTCCTCAACTTTTGGTAAACATGAAAGTTGTAGGTCTTGGTATTAGCTTTCTAAATTGTAATAGAAGTCTTCCATCTGATTTGTAGAACTCAAGTTATAAGGTTTACAAGTCAGGGGTATTTTGGGAAAGTAAGATTATAGGTCATTTGGCATTATAGGTCATTTTCTCTATCTTGCACACTTCAAATGAAGTTTTGTCCAACACAAAACTTTCTCAAAATGGGATTTGAGGTCAACCATGTGTCCATGAGGTTTTGATTTGGCTTAGGGTGAGACTTGGTTTGAAGAAATTTGACAAAAGGGGAATTTAAAGGTCTTTAAGAAAAAAAATCCAAATTAATTCATATGTGTTCAAACCAATGCAAATGAGTGCTTATTTTGATCAGAAAAATCATTTGGAGCACAATGGCAATATTAGAAAATCCATTTGAGGCATAATTCATGGTGTTTTACTTTGATACTTCATGAATAAGTAACACATCAAAGGTTGGTCATAGGATGGAATTAAGCTCTCAATTTGATCCATACACTCTCCACAGTCCACAAGCATTGCAATTGAAGCTTCTTGGAGAAGGAATTGGCTCAGATTCGTGTACACCATAGTTGGATTTTCAAGCAAAAGTGAAAAGTTGGATCTCACTGTTTGGGCCTCCAAATCATCCAAATTCACTCTATATAAGTTCCGAAAGAAGTTAGGATCAAGGTTGGTGGTTATTTTGTGCTAGAGCCAGAGATTGCAGAGTAAATTTTCAAGCTTCAAGTGAGAATTCGAATTTCAATTCTAAAGCAAATCAAGGAAATTCTTGGATTCTATCATCTTTATCCTTCATCAAGGAACGATTCTGCATCATCTTGGAGTGAGAATCACAGTGGAAGTACCTCAATTCGAAGCTACAAACCAGGTATGTACATTTCAAAACTGCACTGATTATAGGATGATCTAGCATAATTTGATATGTGGTTAAGCTTTAGGAAAATGCCTAGGTGGTTTTAGGATAGAAATTTGGAAGTTTAGAGATGATCCAAGGTGTGACATGAATTCTGTTAGAGCTTATAACTGCCTGATTCTGGAGTTTTAGCATGATTGGAATGGCTTATGATGATCTATGATGAATAAGGAGAAGATCTATGACAAGAAATCATAGTTTGGTGATGATCCATGATGTGATGTATTTTAGATTCTTTATCGTGTTTTAAATTCTAGTGAGAATTAGGAGAAATGGAGATTGGATTTGAGATCAGCATGAAAAACTGAGAAGATTGATGTAAGGTTTGGTTGGTTTTGTTGACCTGTAACTGATGCTTCACCGGAAAAGACGGTGGCGCGGCCACCGGACCACCGTCTGGTTCGCCTGAGCATTCTTCCCTCCAAATCCAGTTCAAACGAGGACGATGAAGATGAGCCATTGGATCTGCTTGGATGTTTGACAAAGTCTCCAGATCCAACACACGCGATTTAACCTCAGACTTGACCTTGACCAGCCAAAACGCTGCGCTTCATTTATGCGCTGGCGTGTGGATAGCCCTCGGATGAGGAGACTAAGTCACTTGATCCAACGCCCCAGATTTAATTCTGGCATTTTATTTTCTTTAATTCATTTTTGATTTTATTTTAATTGCTTTTCCATTTTTTATTCATATTAAATCCAATTTTGATCCAAAAAATAAAACAAAAATATGTGGATGCTCATCATTTTATTTCTGATTTTTTGGTATGCTTGGATGTTATTTTTGATCAATTTTCCATTTATTTGGTATTTTTTTGCATTTTCTTTATTTCTTTAATTTTGACATAATTCTTCATTTTCTTGCTGATTTTTGTATGTCCAATTGATATGGAATTTGAGTGAGATTTTTGGCTGGCTGCTAGTATAGAGATGCATGATACCTTAAGAATTATTTCATAAGTTTTAGATAACTTTAGGATTGGTTTTGAATTAGGTTCCAATGACCTTCCATTTTAGGGTTCCCATTTGACACTTTGTGATGTTTGATTTCTTTAGTGACTTTCCCCTTTGGTTTAGGCCCTGACCTTTTTACTATAAGTACATAACACATGTAGGTTCCCTTATAAAATTTTATAGGATTTTAGAAGTAGTTTTAGTATTTTAAATATATTTAATACTTGGGCTAGTTTTAAGATGCTTTCAACATAACACTTGCACTAGTTGAACTCCAATGGTGGCCTTTGGTTCATAATAGGTTTGCTAATCTTCTTTGGTGGTGCTTTAGACATATAGAAGCTTCTGTTTGATTGATTGTGGTGTTTGGTTTTGGTGTTTAGACCTCCTTTTAGTAGCTTTCTTGTAGCTTATTCAATTAGGGTTTAGGAAGAGCTTTAGTTTTGATTCCTCTTTCTTCAAATAAACATAGATTATTTTGTGTGCATTTCATTCTCATCCTATGATTCAAGATCCCTATGTGGAAGCCTCATCCCTCCTTTGGAAGGATGTGTGGCATATCACAAAAGGTAGAACCTTTGAGGATGCCTATCTCAGATGTATGGTTGAGTGCCATGATGGATTCCCTTGGTTTCCATCATGCTTCCCACCATCATGCAATAATCTTGATGTTAACTCTCTTCTCTTTTGTTGGATCTTGTTGAAGCTTGAAGATGGAGCTTTCATTTCCTTCTCTTGAAGATGGCTTAGACTTGAAGTTGACTACAGACTGTGGATTTGTTTTGCTGTTAGACTGCTTTGCTGTTGAGCTGCTTGTTTTGTCTGCTGTATTTTCTGATTGCTTGACTGTTGCTTGTGTGACTGCTTGGTGTGTTGCATTAGACTAGGCTTTCATGTAGATGATTCTAGGCCTAAGAGCATCCTAAAGGTTGAGTTTCTCCCTTTGCTTGTCTGCATTAGAGGTTAAGTCTGTCTCCCTCTGCTT